TCCTTATCTGCGCATACTGTTTCTGGCTCTTCTAACTAATCTCCTTGTTTTCCTGGGTCCTATGCCTCCTGTACCTTTTCCATTCTCTGTTGCACTTAGCTTTTGCCTCCCTACACCTTCGGGGTTAAACCAAGGACTCGTCTTGGTCTTCCTATTATTTCTGTTTCCCTTGGGAACAAAACTTTCCTCTGCCTCCTTGCACTTTGTTGCCACATATTCCATCATCTCGTTTACTGATTTTCCTACCATTTCTCTGTCCACTGAACCTCCTGCAGGAAGTTTCTCATACCTGTGTAGTCCCCCTTTTATAGTTTGGCCTGTCCCCTTCAGTTCCTGTTACCTTCTCCACTTGTAACTCTACTATATAGTCAAAACTCAGAAACCACATGATCCGCTAGCTCCAAGGGGCCTCTCGTAAGTGATGTCCTCGATGTCTGAACTGCTCAGGGTGAACACAAGATACCAGTCTTGCTGGTCATCCTCCCCTCTCTCTCTGGTTGTGTCCTGACATGTTGATGCATGAGGTTTTCAAGTACCACAATCCATCATCTTTGCTCTCCTGTTTCGGGACCCCCATGTGGCTCCAGGTTTTCCCAGTCGATCTCCCTGTGGTTGAAATCGCCCGTGTGTGTGTGTGTGTGTGTGTGTGTGTGTGTGTGTGTGTGTGTGTGTGTGTGTGGTGTGGGTGTGTGGTGTGGGTGTGTGGTGTGGGTGTGTGTGTGGTGTGGGTGTGTGTGTGGGTGTGTGTGTGTGTGTGGTGTGTGTGTGTGGTGTGTGTGTGTGGTGTGTGTGTGTGTGGGTGTGTGTGTGTGTGGGTGTGTGTGTGTGTGTGTGTGTGTGGTGTGTGTGTGTATGTGGTGTGTGTGTGTGGCGTGTGTGTGTGTGTGGCGTGTGTGTGTGTGTGTGTGTGTGTGTGGTGGTGTGCGTGTGTGCGCGCGTGTGTGTGTGTGTTTGTGGTGTGTGTTGTGGTGTGCGTGTGGTGTGTGTGTGTGTGTGTGTGGTTGGTGTTGTGTGTGTGTGTGTGTTGTGTGTTGTTGTTGTGTTGTGTGTTGTGTGTGTGTGTGTGTGTTGTGTGTTGTTTGTGTGTGTTGTGTGTGTGTGTGTGTTGTTTGTGTGTGTTGTGTGTGTGTGTGTGTTGGTGTGTTGTTTGTGTGTGTTTGTGTGTGTTGTGTGTGTTGTTTGTGTGTGTTGTGTGTGTGTGTGTGTTGTGTGTTGTTTGTGTGTGTTGTGTGTGTGTGTGTGTTGTTTGTGTGTGTTGTGTGTGTGTGTGTGTTGTGTGTTGTTTGTGTGTGTTGTGTGTGTGTGTGAGAGAGAAATTTGTATTGAAAATTGAGGTAAGGTGAAGGTCAGGAAGGAGCGATGTTTCCCAGCTGGGTTGTGTGTCGTTGATCACTTGCTCATAAACAAGTTGTGTGTCGTTGATCACTTGCTCATAAACAAGTTGTGTGTCGTTGATCACTTGCTCATAAACAAGTTGTGTGTCGTTGATCACTTACTCATAAACAAGTTAACCACTAACTACTATAATAAGTTTTAGTAGTTTATGTACAGTCGTTGTTAAATGTTTGCCCTCGTTTTATACTCTCCTCATTCTAGAACCATATTCTTAACTGCCACTTAAGTAAAAGCATGAATAATATACTAATTCTGCATTTGCAAATCACTTATTTAACTTCACACCAGCACTTAAGTGGCCACTTTAAGAATTTGGAACTAAGATTTCAAAAATATATTATGATATTTAGCGAGACTTTCCCCATTAAGTTTTAAAAGCTTAATTTCTATGTTGCTGAAGTAATATTTGCATAAATAACTGATGAACTGGTAAAATCTGTATTAGTTGAGGACGGTTAACGACACATCTTAATGGTGTCCAACTTTCAGTAAATGTTCACATATAATATCCACGAAGTCACATGATTCAACATTATTTTTACACACTAAATTTTTTTGCAAGTGACTGTCATGTGACTCTCATGTGACTGTCATGTGACTGTCATGTGACTGTCATGTGACTCTGTCATGTGAGTCCTACTTGAGCAGTTTGAGGTACATTATGGACCTCCTTCCCAGAGGCACAAGTAGGAAAAAACTGCCACTGTTTTGCGTCTTGGTATTCTATAATAAGAAATGTAAAATATCTTTCATAAGCAAAGACCAACTGAAAAATTACAAGATTTTAACTAGTAAATAGCTTTACAATAGTATATTATAATATACACTTGGAAAATCCTGGAAGGAATGGTCGCTAATCTGCACACACAAACCACTCCTTACGAAAATAAAGACAGGGCAGGCGGTGCAAAATACCTCCAATGAAAGTATGGGCTTGACCATCTGGTACACTTAAAGAGAAAACAACATAAGCGTCCGGGGCCCAAGACTGTTCAACAGTCTCGCACTATGCATAAGTGGAATTACCAATAGTCCCCTGGCTGCCTTCAAGAGGGAGCTGGACAGATACTTAAAGTCGGTGCCGGATCAGCCGGGCTTTGGTTCGTACGCTGGACTACGTGCGGCCAGCAGTAAAACGCTGGTTGATCAGGCCACTGTTCCACAGGTAGGCCTAGTTATGGACTCGAGTGCGGGCGTTGATCCCCGGAACATCCTTCATGTAGACTCTAGGTAGGTACACTATCCTCCTCTGTGACTACACTCGCTATAATTCACCACTCACTCTTGGATCTGAACATTAAAATGGTATAAAATACCGACAGGTTGTTAGGTAAGACACATATGCAACAGTTAGGTGTCTTTATTACGATTGTTTCAGACTTCGGAACAATGCTCTTCTCCAGACTGAGGGACTGACCACCTCAAAACTTTAAGGGTGATTGGACTGATTACATCGTCTTCAAGTTCTTCAGCTACCTAGCATTTATCTGTTCACGACTGAAGAAGTCTTTTGTGTGGTCGAAACCTTTCGTAATAAAGGTCACCTAACCTGTGCATAGTGTTACCTACACTCTTGGATCTACATTATCAGCTGGTCACAACATCGTAGGGGTAACATTTCACAGAACAAGCAATTTTTAGGGGTACACCACTTTGATCGGTGAGATCTCACCTAAGTTTGATCAAGCTCGGAACACACAGAATTATACAATGGTCCACAACAGCAAGTTCTTCTGTTCACAAAACTGCATTTTTCTTCACAATCTAGCTTTAATAAGTTCACACCTAGGCAGTGTTATCAAGGTGGGTTCACAACCTAGGCAGTGTTATCAAGGTGGGTTCACAACCTAGGCAGTGTTATCAAGGTGGGTTTACAACCTAGGCAGTGTTATCAAGGTGGGTTCACGACCTAGGCAGTGTTATCAAGGTGGGTTCACAACCTAGGCAGTGTTATCAAGGTGGGTTCACAACCTAGGCAGTGTTATCAAGGTGGGTTCACAACCTAGGCAGTGTTATCAAGGTGGGTTCACAACCTAGGCATGTGTTATCAAGGTGGGTTTCACAACATAGGCAGTGTTATCAAGGTGGGTTCACAACCTAGGCAGTGTTATCAAGGTGGGTTCACAACCTAGGCAGTGTTATCAAGGTGGGTTTACAACATAGGCAGTGTTATCAAGGTGGGTTCACAACCTAGGCAGTGTTATCAAGGTGGGTTTACAACCTAGGAAGTGTTATCAAGGTGGGTTCACAACCTAGGAAGTGTTATCAAGGTGGGCTCACAACCTAGGAAGTGTTATCAACGTGGGTTTACAACTTAGGCAGTGTTATCAAGGTGGGTTCACAACCTAGGCAGTGTTATCAAGGTGGGTTACAACCTAGAAGTGTTATCAAGGTGGGTTCACAACCTAGGCAGTGTTATCAAGGTGGGTTCACAACCTAGGCAGTGTTATCAAGGTGGGTTCACAACCTAGGCAGTGTTATCAAGGTGGGTTCACAACCTAGCAGTGTTATCAATGTGGGTTCACAACCTAGGCAGTGTTATCAAGGTGGGTTCACAACCTAGGCAGTGTTATCAAGGTGGGTTCACAACCTAGGCAGTGTTATCAAGGTGGGTTACAACCTAGAAGTGTTATCAAGGTGGGTTCACAACCTAGGCAGTGTTATCAAGGTGGGTTCACAACCTAGGCAGTGTTATCAAGGTGGGTTCACAACCTAGGCAGTGTTATCAAGGTGGGTTCACAACCTAGAGTTTTCAGGTGTTCAACTGAGTGTTCAAGGTGGGTTCACAACCTAGGCAGTGTTATCAAGGTGGGTTCACAACCTAGGCAGTGTTATCAAGGTGGGTTCACAACCTAGGCAGTGTTATCAAGGTGGGTTCACAACCTAGAAGTGTTATCAAGGTGGGTTCACAACCTAGGCAGTGTTATCAAGGTGGGTTCACAACCTAGGCAGTGTTATCAAGGTGGGTTCACAACCTAGGCAGTGTTATCAAGGTGGGTTCACAACCCAGGCAGTGTTATCAAGGTGGGTTCACAACCTAGGCAGTGTTATCAAGGTGGGTTCACAACCTAGGCAGTGTTATCAAGGTGGGTTCACAACCTAGAAGTGTTATCAAGGTGGGTTCACAACCTAGGCAGTGTTATCAAGGTGGGTTCACAACCTAGGAAGTGTTATCAAGGTGGGTTCACAACCTAGAAGTGTTATCAAGGTGGGTTCACAACCTAGGCAGTGTTATCAAGGTGGGTTCACAACCTAGAAGTGTTATCAAGGTGGGTTCACAACCTAGAAGTGTTATCAAGGTGGGTTCACAACCTAGAAGTGTTATCAAGGTGGGTTCACAACCTAGACAGTGTTATCAAGGTGGGTTCACAACCCAGTGTTATCAAAGATAAGTTGCATGAACCACCTATACAAACTTACGAAATATTAATGTATTTAGAACCTCGGATGAATGGCAGCAAGGAACAATCAGGGTAAAAGAAGGAAGAGTGGGTGGAGGAGGAAATGAGAGAGAGAGAGAGAGAGAGAGAGAGGAAGAGGGAGGGAGAGAGAGAGAGAGAGAGAGAGAGAGAGAGAAATAGTCACTCGTCAACCTCAGTGAATACTTCCAAATATTTAGGTTTCCGTGGGGCGGAGGCCTTGTCGTGAGCAGTGAACGTGATAGATCGCTTGATCTTCTGAAACCTTTTGGAACCGATCCTCTTAGCGCGTTCCAGGTTGTGCGCGCCTTGCTGGAACATTCGCTCTAGCCCCTGAGATTGTGCTCTGGAGATGGTACCATGCTGGGCATCGTTGTGAGTGTCCGTGGACGTCATCATGCCCCTCACCCCGCCCAGGTACTTACTCTTCTGAGTGTCGTGGGAGACGGTGGAGGCGATGGTGTTGTATGAGCGAGGTTTCTTGCCAGAATAGTCACGGGTATTGAGGTCGCCACCTGAAAATACTCACAATAGTCAGTAATAGCTACTCCTGTTATTGAGACGACTAGTTCGTAATATTCACAGACAATTGCTAAACCCATAGGAATCATACGGCACCTAGGGAATGGGATGTAATCATGTGAGGGGCCATAAGCTCGTCACCAGCTTCACTTAATATGGTTACTTTCCTCGGTGTTAGTGATATAACACCGAGGAAATTGAATTCGTCTCTGTAACAGCTATTATATCTGAGTTGTGCTCCATTATTCTTATCTTTACCTCTAGGTTCTCGTTGAAGTTCTATCTGCATTTGTATACCTCTATTCTCATGAGTTTGTGTGTATAAGTGCTGTGTACGTGTGTCTACAAAGTGTTTGTGTATGATTGTGTGTGTGTTTATAGAAGTGCTTGCGTATGGCTATGTATAAAAGCTTGCGTGTGGTGTATGACTGTGTGTACATGTATAGTTTGTGTATGAGCGTACACTCACCGTAGTGAACAAGTAGGTCGAACACCTCCGTGCGGTTGAACATGGCAGCGATGTGCAGTGGCGTGTACCCCTGAAAATGAACATAATCACTAACATTACAAGCAAACAGTTAGTAAGGAACAAACACGATCACTAAGAGGATAGGCAGACATGATTAACAACAACAACAACACATACACACGAGACTAACAAACACTCCCACAAACACCAGACTAACACAAATCATTCAAACGTCGATTAACACACAAAACACTAACGTCATACGAACTTTGGATTAACATCAGACAAACACTATAACACACATCAGACTAACACTCATACACAAACACAAGACCAACACAAACAATATATTAACAAAACAAACAGCGTTCTCTGCTTTAAGGTCTTTATACATTTTCAAAACGTAATTGAACAGTCTCTCAGAGACAGAACTTTCCCTAGAACTTAGAAGCAGGGAAGGGGATGAGGGAGGGGAAGGAGAGGTGGGAGAGGTGGCTGAAAGAGGGGTGGGAGAGGTGGCTGAAAGAGGGGTGGGAGAGGTGGCTGAAAGAGGGGTGAAGGTGGCTGAAAGAGGTGAGAGTGGCTGAAAGAGGGGTGGGAGAGGTGGCTGAAAGAGGGTGGGAGAGATGGCTGAAAGAGGGGTGGGAGAGGTGGCTGAAAGAGGGGTGGGAGAGGTGGCTGAAAGAGGGGTGGGAGAGGTGGCTGAAAGAGGGGTAGGAGAGGTGCTTCAAAGAGGATAAGTTTAAGGAAAGATAAAGATAGAAGACAAACATTAAAAAATAAAGGAACGCAGGTTAAAAGAACAAAATGAGGAGAGATAGAGAGAGATGGGAAGGAGAGGAGTGTGTGACAGGGGGAGAGGGAGGAAAGGAGGGGAAAGTTTGCAACAGCCCCGCTGGTATATTCCCCAACAAACTTTAATATAGGATTTCGCCACACACTTGGGGTGATAATCTCATAAGTGTATTGAGATTAAATCCAAATATCTGGTGCAATATATCGAGCAGGGGGAAGGGTGCCAGAACTACACCCTGCTGCACCCCGTCTCACACACACACACACACACACACACACAAGAAGAAGAAATATTAAAGACTGTTTTAATGAAAGACGTTGGAGAACTGTGAAAAATAAAGGATTTGAAACTAATCCAGGAAGCTGGTTCAATCCAGACATATAGCAGATAAAAAACATAAATGTAAAGATGGAAGAATAAAGGAACTTTGAACCAAGGAGACTGTAGACAAGAGCAAGATGGTATTGAATCTTATATTCAAGTTTGTAAAAAAAAATTGTAAACTAAACGTTAAAGACAGAATCGAAACAACTGGAAACAACAAAAATCACTGAAGAGGAGGAACTGTTTCTGGTACAAACCAGAAAGTGTCAGTGAGTTTACTAAAGATATATGTAGCAGATTTAAAGGACAAACAGGTAACTGAGTTAGAGAATACTGTGATACCTAAAGAGGTAAAACAGGAATTCTTAGTGAATGTTGACAAACAAACAAACAGGACCAGATCAGACAGCAACATGAGTTTGAAAACAATGTGCATTAGAAACGAGTAGTTCACTTTGGATTCTTTTTTTAGGATTTCACTACAAAGAGGGTAAATTGACAGACAAATAGAAGACAGCAAACACTGTGCCAATATTCCTCTTATGTACATTCTCCTGTATCAGTGACTGCTATGAAGGACGCCTCTAAACACTTCCTCTTATATAGATCTGTTTGTGAGGGAATTGTAGCCTAAACGAAGAATTCAGAGCACTGCATGTTTGTCCATTTGCCTAAATGACTGTAGGTATTTTTATACCTTTCTACTCTCAAAAGCAGCAGTGTGCAGAATGGCGTGCAAGAAATAAGACTTAACCAATACAGGTCTCCCACACACATACACAGGTCACCATCACATTAAAAACAATAGTGATGATGCACAGGGGTGCATCAAACAGTCGTCAACACACAGGAGAGGGGGGAGGAGGAAGTCAGCAACAGCGAGCAATCGTGCGTGCGTGCGTGCGTGTGTGTGTGTGTGTGTGTGTGTGTGTGTGTGTGCGTGTGTTGTGTGTGTTAGACGCAGCAATTATCGCGCCTCAGGCCCCGCGCGGTAATTTTCACATACATATTAATATGAAGCTCCGGAGAGGGGAAGAGTTAGTCTATGTTGCACTGCCTCTCCACCGACACATTCCATCACCTACACCAGCGTCCAAACCCGACCTTCCCGCACCGTCACGCAAGACCCGATCTTCCCTTCCACTCCGCCCGCTTTTTCGTCGTTTAGGTCGCAAATCGCCTTTGCTATAATTAAAACGAGAGGCGTAACGACCAATCAACCCGGACAAACGATGCATTCGGCAGTTAGCAACAATTGCAGCGTTCTACCTGTGCTCGACACGTAATTCTTCAATAGGCCATGACTCTTGCCCTCCGACTCTACTCCTCCTCTTCCTACTGGCCTGTCCAGGTCTGGTCTGACTAGTCTGACCCGACCTGGCCTTGCCTTGCCTGGCTTGGCCTGGACTAGACTGACTAGCCTACCTTGGTGTGTCGGGTCCCCCCAAGCACTGCACGTCTCTATTAACAACTGTAGCCTGGCTAACGAGCTCACACTGGTAATGAAAACTGCCAGTGAGCAATATGTCGTTATCTATGCAGCCAGCCAGACAACTAGCAAGCCAGTCCAGCATCCATCTAGACAAAGACAACGAGTATAAAACCAGTCAAGCATCCATCTAGACAGCCAGCCACACAGGAAGTCAGCCGTGTACACGAGTCAATAAACAAAACCGTCTCTAGCTAGGAGAACATAACTCCTCTATAAGGCACTGACTGGCTTCTCCCATCACACACACACACACACACACACACACACACACACACCACACACACACACACACACACACACACACACAAACACACACCCTGCAACCACAAATAAGTGAGTGCACACACAGTAGAAATGCGTAAAAAGCAAGGGAAGACAGAGTGGAACACGAGAGAACTATGGCCGAAAAAACAACTGAAAGACTGAAAGAGGAAGTGAAAGAGCTGGACGAAAATTTGAAGAAAATGAGGGAGGGAGGGTTAGGCAGGAGAGAGAATTATGAAGGAAACTCAGGAATAGCAGTAAGGGACAATAAACCAGCAAAAAAATTACCAGACATATATCCAGGCGACTAGACAGCACAGGAGGGTAATGAGGGAGACAGCAAGGGAAATGATAACAGACAATGTAATCTGGAAGGAAAGACAATGGGAGGAAGAAAGTTACTGATGATCTATGAACTTAAGAAGACTGACTGATGATAAGTCAGGAAGGTCAGAGGAAGATTCAGAGCACGTGGATAATTCTCAGATCAGGATATGCTTCCGGGACAAAGAATGCCCTATCAAATTAACCTTCTGGTCACAAGTATCTCAAAGCGAGCAAAATCATGGAAGAACTACAAAAACAAAGGACAAAAGAAAACAAAGAGGTGAGCAGAAGAACCAAAAACGAATAAGGAAGGGTGAGAAACTAAGCGACAAATGGAGAATGAGACATCAGCTAAAAACACGTCTTGTGATAAATAGTTTAAAAAACCGACAAGTTTAAGATTGAGACACTTATGCAACATATGGGAATCTTTATTGAGGAAACGTTTCACCACACAGTGGCTTCATCAGTCTAATACAAAGCAAAAAGGTGTAAGGAGAGGAGTGTAAGGTAATCCGTAGCTCAGCTGGAGCTACGGATTACCTTACACTCCTCTCCTTACACTTTTTTGCTTTGTATTAGACTGATGAAGCCACTGTGTGGTGAAACGTTTCCTCAATAAAGATTCCCATATGTTGCATAAGTGTCTCAATCTTAAAGACAAGTCTTAACCAAAACTGCTTTACCGTCACAAGAAAGACAGAGTAAAAGACGCGGCAGTAAGACGGGACAGGGAAGGAGACTTTACAACCTTACAAGAAATGACCAGAAAGTCTGTGAGGAACTGAATAAAAACTGTAAGGAAATAGAGACACCACCAAAGAGACAAGATGAGTAGTACACCAACGAGTACCGGCCACAGTACACACACACACACACACACACACACACACACACACACACACACACACACACACACACACACACACACACACACACACAGAGGAAGAGAAATGAAGATACTGAGTGAACTAACTATATCGAGGGTAATGTGACCAGACAATCTCGCTCCATAGCTTCTGGAAAATATGGCTGAAGAAACCATACAATGGGCGGGGTTAGAACCCGCGATCAGAGCGCCTCAAAACTCCAGATCGTCGCGTTAGCCACTGGGCCAGCTGGCCACAATAAGATTCATCCAGGCTACACGTCACTTGGTACAGGGCAACAGTTTGAGATGTGGAAGACAGCAAATGTAGTCCCGATATTTAAGTAAGGGGACAGACAGGAAACATTGAGCTAGAGACCAGTGTCACTGACATGTATACTGTGTAAGGTTATGGAGAAAATAAACATGAGAGTGGTGAAACACCCGGAATATAGTTGTTTCATAAACAGCCAGAACGGCTGCTTGAGTTTAATGGCAAGACAACAAAGGTGAGGCAAGAAAGAGAGGACTGCGTGGACTGCATATTTTTAGATTGTAAGACATCTGGCACAGTACTACACAAGAGACTACATCAAGAACTGGAAGAGCAGGCATGAATAACAGGGAAAGCACTGAAATGGATCAAGGAATATCTAACTGTAAGGAAACAGAGTCGATGTCTGAGAAGAGGCACTGGAATGGGCAAGTGTGACAAGTAGGGTTCAACAAGGACTGGTATTGGAACTAGTACTTTTTCTGGTGTACACAAATAACAAGATGAAAGAGGAAGAGCTTGGATGTATTCCCGTTTGCAGATGATTTGAAAGCAATGAGAAGACTTAAAATAAGACAAGAAAAGGATACAAATGGATCTGGACAAGCAGTTAATGGGATTCAACCCCAGCAAGCTCACGGAAAAGGGCAAAGACCAGAAATAGAGTACAATCTCGAAGGACAAAGACTGCAAACCTCATTCAAGGAGGACCTAGGGGTGAGCATAGTGCAGAACATATTGCCTG